GTTCAAAGGTTGATCACGTGGGTGGAAAGACCCAAAAAAGGTTTTTTTTCGACATAAACTACCAATATTTCGGCAAACGTCAGAGCTTAACGCCAAACGTCACCCTAATTTGACAGTTGTCAAAGTAAAAATCGAAGGAAATTTATAGAAATGGTAAGACGTCAAAGCTATATCGAAGACGTCAAAGTTATAACCAAAACGTCAACATTATTTGACAGATGTCAAAGTTATAACCAAAACGTCAACCTTATTTTGAAGACGTCAAAGTTATAAAGAAAACGTCAACCTTATTTTAGAGTTGTCAAAAAAAACCAAAGGAATTTTACGTAAGCCTCAAATGTCAAAATCATAGCTAGGTAGGAAGAGGCACCAAGGCTGCGTGAAAAATGAGTCTGTGACGTCACATGTGTCGTCATATGACGTCAAAATGTATTGAACCGGCAGATCAAATAGCCGATGTCCGGCCCTGAAAAACTCTGATCACTGCCCGCTGGGCCCTCTGGCGGGTTCAAAGGTTGATCACGTGGGTGGAAAGACCCAAAAAAGGTTTTTTTTCGACATAAACTACCAATATTTCGGCAAACGTCAGAGCTTAACGCCAAACGTCACCCTAATTTGACAGTTGTCAAAGTAAAAATCGAAGGAAATTTATAGAAATGGTAAGACGTCAAAGCTATATCGAAGACGTCAAAGTTATAACCAAAACGTCAACATTATTTGACAGATGTCAAAGCTATAACCAAAACGTCAACCTTATTTTGAAGACGTCAAAGTTATAACCGAAACGTCAACCTTATTTTGAAGACGTCAAAGTTATAAAGAAAACGTCAACCTTATTTTAGAGTTGTCAAAAAAAAACCCAAAGTAATTTTACGTAAACCTCAAATGTCAAAATCATTGCTAGGTAGGAAGAGGCACCAAGGCTGTGTGAAAAATGAGTCTGTGACGTCACATGTGACGTTATATGACGTCAAAATGTATTGAACCGGCAGATCAAATAGCTGATGTCCGGTCCTGAAAAACTCTGATCACTGCCCGCTGGGCCCTCTGGCGGGTTCAAAGGTTGATCACGTGGGTGGAGAGACCCAAAAAAGGTTTTTTTTTCGACATAAATTACCAATATTTCGGCAAACGTCAGAGCTTAACGCCAAACGTCACCCTAATTTGACAGCTGTCAAAGTAAAAATCGAATGAAATCAAACACTAAATAACCTTTATAAATCACAGTCGTCTTCTATTTATATCAAATAAATAAAAGAGTGCAAAGTTTCTAGCACTAAAATAATTATCACCACAAGAAGTTAATTTGAAATGCAATTTTTTTAAAGTTAGCAGCTATTATCAAGCGTATTCAGAGTTGTTTTGTGAACTTTCAACATTCTACTATTAAACTACAAAAAATGAAAGATTTTGCAACTAATAAAAAACGAATATTGAGCGTCGAAAGATTTTCCTGGTTTTTCCCCATTCACCTCTAAATCCCTAATCACCCGTTTTACGGTACTTTGTTATATCAAATAGGTGTCTGAATAAAACAAAAATATAATTTAGAGTAAAATACAAGAAAATTTTATTTGTTCGGAAACATCAAACATTTAAAGGACAGTCTTAGAGCTATACTATTCTATATGTATTAAATATACATAATTTTAGTTTAATAAATATAGTTACGACACAAATAGAATTTAAAACGTTAATGCTAGTATCACTATTAACTTTATAAAAAGCAATAAAATTACATAAAAATGTAAAAGTTAACATCATAAGAATTAACGAATATTTGGTGTGGATGGAGAAGGGACAAGCTAATTAAACTCTTTAATAACACTGTTACTACAATTTATTAAATTAATACTGTATGCCCATATTCTATCATTACTATTATTTGTAACTATAGTAAAAGCTCCTTAATAGCGCTTCCTTCTATCGCGGAAAACAAAATGGGACCCAACTCCTATGTTGGCGGCTAAAGATTTTTCTATTCGCGGATTTAATCGGTACATCGGTACATTCATTGTTAAAAAGGATTCCAATATGTGGGTATCCAACCGAATACCTTTTATAAACGCGCATTTCATTGTCAGTTTTTATATTCGCGGCATATTCACGGAACGTATAGCCCCGCGAATAATTAATTACCTTTTATCGTACTTACGAACATATCTGCTAAAGCAATGCAGTCCTAAACTTCAAAATTTAGGCAATTTAAGAGAACAGACGAGGAACTCATTACTATATTTGTTACTTTATTAGTTGGAATAAGCTAAGGTACTCATTACTCGATATAAAGATGTAGGTTATTTATAAAAAAATATAGTTTAAGACTCCCGATGTATTCGTATAGATGTAGCGTTGCGATTATGCCGATGATAATCTAAATAACCAAAGACATTTTCTAATCTAATACGAACTTAAATAATATTCGTGTTCGTTCATTTTGAAGTCGTCGTGGCCTAAAGGATAAGACGTCCGGTGTATTCGTACCTACATATCTAGCGATGCGCCGGTGTTCGATTCCCAGGCGGCTACCATTTTTTCTAATGAAATACGTACTTAACAAATGCTCACGATTGACTTCCACGGTGAAGGAATAACATAGTGTAATAAAAATAAAAAAACCCGCAAAACTTTAATTTGCGTAATTACTGGTGGTAGGACCTCTTGTCAGTACGCATGGGTAGTGTACCACCACCTCCCTATTTCTGCCGGGAAGCAGTAATGCCTTTCGGTTTGAAGGGTGGGGCAGCCGTTGTAACTATACTGAGATCTTAGAACTTATATCTCAAGGCGGGTGGCGCATTTACGTTGTAGATGTCCATGGGCTCCAGTAACCACTTAACACCAGGTGGGCTGTGAGCTCGTCGACCCATCTAAGCAATAAAAAATAAATAAATAAACTTGTATTTATGCAAGCTTATCTTGAAAATGCCGTAAGTGAGATTCAGGCATTTGTCAAATACATATCTTGTGTTGTAGTATGGTGGCTACCGCCACTTGTGTTTATTATTCTATAACATACGAGAGCAATCGTCACGTGAGACAAATTTTGAGCACGTGTTCAGAAAATTCAAAAAAGATCAGTAATATCTAATACACACAACATACTAAAATCCCATGCTTAAAACGTCATGGGTTCGCAGAAACGATTGATAAGTGTCCGTAATGTAAAGTTTGGCCCAACCTCTATAGTTTGGCCAAAAAGTGGCCAAAATAGTTTATAACATGTGACATCTATGAATAATATTTTAAAAGAATATAAACTAACATGTGACATCAAGAAGAATATTTTTTTTTATTAAATAGAGAAACAACATTGATACAGAATGATATAAAAACATTCGAATGCTTTAAAAAATCTGACAATTGAATCTACGAGTATAGTAACCGGCAAACTTCTTGAGCAAATGACCTTGACTGCGCAGAACCGAATTTTAGATCACTTTGGTGGTGAGGGTGAAGCGCGACGGCAGGGGAAATCGTATCGAGCGCGTTGTTATTGGTAGATCAGTCGAACCTTGCGTCCCGCACCGCGCCTTCGTTCCGCTTGCTCCCAAAAGTACGCTTGCGTACAGTGAAAAGTCTATCGTTATTAATCGTTAAGTTATTTGTTATAATTGCTTGTTGACTTTGTTGCCATTGCTATTTGTTGAGTGTTTGTTATTTTTTTATAAAAAATACACTATGCCGCGACAAACTGGTGTAGTATTCAAAAGAAAGGGTAGAAAAATTGTGTACGACGTATATTGCTTCATTATAAAACAGGGGCAGAATGATATGGAAAAGTAAAACAGACTTCGGAAGCAACAAAAACATCCGTGAGTACTGTTAGGTGCATTATTAGCGAAGCTAAAGGCTCTGGCTTGCTCGCCGTGTTTGGGACTCCGGGTAAGAAAAGATCAGGGAAGAAGAAAGTTACCGGAATGGATAGTTTCGTTCAATCTGTAATAAAAAGATGTAATCATAATAACTACATAATAAGCAGCGAAACTCCGTACCGTAGAAAGGCTTCGAAAAATTTAAAGAAGATATAAATTTTAATGGCTCGGAATGAAGCTTACGACGAATTATGAAAGAGCTAGGCTTCAGATGGAAAAAAAGAACAGAAAATAATCGGAAGCTGGTAAATGAAAAAAGTAACATTCGATTACTACGAATCGAATATCTTCAAAAAATAATTAATTATAGACAAAAAAGAAGACCGAATCGACCGAGTTGTAAACTACGCCGATGAGCCCTATGTCGACTCATCACGATGATAGCGACTCGGGTGATGAAAACAGTGATGATGATGATGGTCAAGATTATGATAACGAAAAAAAAATTACAAATACCAGCTTCGCTTTAACTGAACCAAGACCTGGCAACAGCTCTAGTTTTGACTTAATAGAAGGAATATCTATTTTACCCCAAGATTAAATTATTACAATTATTAACCTGTATTTTTTGTTGATGTTCTCATAAATATATAAATAAATACATATGTTGATTTTAATAATTTAATTGTATTATGACGCAGAGTAAATAATGTTTTTGCACGTGAGTGTACCATGCGCAAACTTACCCCCACTACGTCAACAAATGCTCAAGAAGTTTGCCGGCTATTATATATACCATTAAAATTTAGTGTTATTTGGATGATTGAAAACTAATTTGAGCACAATAAATGTTCCTCATCCAATTTATAATACTAGTAAGCCATTTTTTAATATTTCCTTAAAGTATATTAAAGGTTTTATGTTTGGATGAAGTAAGTAATTATCAATTACATATCTACAGTAATCTACACCGCTGTACCTAAAAGGGTTAGCACAATAAAGATTAAATGGCGACTCCATCGCCGGTCTAGCAATTATTTGAAATACGTCAGTACCTCTGATCTTTTATGTCTAGGCAATTCTGAATTCGTAGTAGCTAAGCAGTTTTGGTAATAATCATATAAATGAAGCTACTCTAATTAACATCAATTAAAAAAATCGATATAAGCTATGTGAATCCAAAATTTATATACAAATATACGGTGGTCAATAAGATCATTTGTATTCAGTAAAAGTATGCAATTCCTTTATACGGAACCCTCAATGCTACATCTGCATTGCTGGCTCGTGTACTAGGAAGCATAGAAAGTTTGATTGTACGTCAAGATAATGAAAAACAAATGCAAAACGTTCTACACAAAAGGACAATGGGCGGTCCTATTACTAAGAGCAATCTCTTCGAGAGATCGAAAGATATTAAAATATGCAGTTAACGATGCACACTTACAACAATAACATAATAAAATAATAACACATTAAAATAGCAACAAATCATATTAATTTGTATACGTGGATGTAACTGTTTATCATGTATTGTATTATTTGTATGAAGTTACATATTCCATGATATTATATAATTGTTTTTTCAACGCATGAATACATCGCATTTATATATTATATATACATATAAACATAAGACTGAAAGTATCACTGAACCGGTACTAGGATTAGCAAATGTAAGCTGTATCGCTTTTACTGTTAATTTCGTTCTGCCAAAGTAGTTACTTTTTTTTCGGGCATGGCATCAAACCTCATGCATGAGGGCGCGCGGGGTACATAAGCACTAACGGTCCACAAATGTTCGGAGCTGACCGCGGGCCAAAGGATGGTTTTAGATCCCTACCCACCTAACGACTCCCGACGTTCGATTTCCGCCCGAGGTCAGAATCCGGGTATCGGGTTCTGACCTCGGGTTTCCACGGTCAACAATACAACCAGACCCGGGGCGTCACCCCGATGATCCCCGATCGACCGTTGACGCGATCGTCGACGACTAACAACAAAATTAACTACACCTTAAATTCAAAATATCTTTAACAAAAATACTGATTGTAGTTGAGAATTCATGTGGACTATCATCGGGTCGTTTCAAAACAACACTTATACTATATATTATTATATATTTTATAATACATATTATTATGTGTATTTCAATGTGTTTTCATGGCATACAGGATTTAAATAGTCATCAATCTCTCATTATCTCAATTATCATTTTACCAGCTGCAAACCTCCTATTTGATGAGTTCATATTCTAGTTTGAATAAAACCAATCAAATTGTTGACTAATGTTTTGAGCTGTTACTTAAAAAGATCTTATGAAAAATTAGTCATGCGGACACCATTGAGCGTTGTTATAGAAATCTATCAAATATTTTATTAGTGTTTATTCAACACGAAACAATAATAATATAAAAATAACAAGCACTATTTTCTGCGTAGTACATTAACTTGTAGGACAACAGAAAATTGTTCAACATAAAACTCAAATTGTCATTTTTATGAAAATGCAAAAACAATTAGATGCATACGATTTAACATATCGATTGATTAAACACAATAAAACAGCAATTACATAAAATTTGAGGTATTTGAACGCATATTATACACATCTACACAGTAAAAACTCGAAATACAGAGATTAATTAAATTCAACAAATCGATACATCTGGGATCGATAAGAGTAGGGTCACTAAATAACTATTTATTTTTTTGTATTAGTTGGAATGATACATTATTTAGTGACCCTGCCGTCATCATGATGAACATTATTCAGCGTTCACTCACGTGGCTGTAAAATATTACTAACAATATCTTTAGTTATTAATAATAGTGGAAACAGAGGTAAGACTCAACCGATACATCTTATACTCCGATTATACTGCCCTAATAATAATTATCCGTGAATAACTTAGAAACACTTTAGTTAAAGTAAGATTTGATTGAGCCTACAGAATCAGCTGTTATCTGTAATGTATTTCTGTAAGGTACTTCTTCTGTAATCTTAATATTTGAATATGACCTACAAAATTGCTTATTTGTTACAGTTTCAAATATTAGAAACGATTGATTATACCTTATTTTACGACATCAAACTATGAGAAGGTATATAAAGTTTTCTAAATCTAGTTACATGCAATTCTAGACGAAATGTAAATTACATTTGAACTATGCAATGCCAAATGAACCTCGTAAAATTTCTTTAAATATTTTTATCTCTGTCAATAAATGAATGCTTTATGCTTCATAAAACCTAATGCAATGGACGTAATGTTTATTAGCTAATTCTATTGTAACATTGTGTATTGTAGTACCGACCGAGTCATGATCTGACATCTATAATAGTAAGCTCCAAATTTCCTACCCTTTATAAAACTTTGGTGTTCATATTTCATCTACTTACTGGATACGCAGCACGTTAATCTCTACTAATAAAAGTTTATCCAAAATACTGACACTACATTTCCATCCGAATAAATACACCTACAAATCTCAAATATAAATTCAGACTATAAGATTACACTCGTTATAATAATAAAACGTATTATTATCTCTTCGTACATGTATCTGTAACTGCAAGTTTTTACTCTTTTTTTTTTCTTTCGATAAAACATCCAAAATTCCCAAAAAAATATTAGGTCGATAATTCATTGCTCCCATTTTAACTATGGAAAATGTTTTATTTAGGTATTTACTTTATCATTTAACTCTACAGTCTACAGGTTTGTGTTCTAACAGAAATGTGTATAAAACAATATAATCTAATGGAAGACATTGTCATTTAAATCTGAGTACGTGAGGATGTTAATAAAATAGTAAAGAAAACTATTAAAAAAACTGGAATGTTTATGCGGGCCACATCTTGGAACAACTTACACCTAGCTACATCTAATTAATGAACATGACGAAAGACGAACACATAATCTACTTATAATATATCCAATATTTTAACTATACATTTATTAACGCTATAATCATGAGAAAAAAAAATAACTTCTACGTTTAAAGCATTAAAACCAAACGTATAAACCCGTTTATTCGCAAAATACTGATATCAACAACGCACGCACCTTCGCTAATAACATTAAAGCGTCTCAAAAAGCTACAAATAAATAACACGTTAAAATATTTTAAATACAATAACTTAACATATAGCAGTCAACTTCGAAACTAATATCAAGATAAGTGTACACCGGATTATAATAGATTAAGCATGTTCAAAACTACACGTTTATAAATATGTATTCATAATAATAAAATGATAGGATTAATAAAATTAGTTCCGGTATTCACTATCCATCCGACTTAGATGTAATTATGGCACTTTCATCCAGATAAACCAACACCGACTAACTTCGAAAAAATTACGAATGCGTTACACAAAAGTCAATTATATTTTACCGGTGGCTTTAATACCTTCGGATTCGTCGCTACATGTAGGCAGGTTTCATTTTGTAAGCGCGCTTCCAAATCTCACACAAGCAAACGGTCGAGTGGAATCTGTAGAAAATCGCTAGCGGCATTGAGACATGCGTTATGATCGTCCAAGCCCAGAGTCCGTAAAAGTGCAACTGGACTGGATGAGATTCGGCGCGCGATTTCTCCAGTGTGTTGATCGCCCACATGGCTAAGTTGGTTACCAATAAGAACGTCACTATTTCCCTGCCAGGCTTTTTTCTCAATTGTTCAGGAGTCTTAGCTGACCGACGACTCGCATCCAATATGAACATCGTCTGACATGTTGTTTGGATTAACGAAGATAAAGCAGTGATCAAAATCAGAATCGTGTTCTTTTCTATAGTGAAGTGCCCTCCGATGATGGTAAACGTGCCATAAATGAACATGCCAGTTTGAGCTCCAACAAGAAGTATGTTATCGAGTTCGAGATTTCGGTTTCCGTCATACTTTAGATTTCTTACACAAAACATTCCGGCCAAACTAGCTAAAGTCGTCATAGCGTAAAGAGCCAATTCACACATGTTCACTTCGACAACCGCCAATGAAGCGTATTCCTTTTTAGACACCAAAACGAAGAACAAGATTAGAGATATAATCGTTAGAACTAATACGAGAATTCCAAAAAACAGTCCCTTGTGAGCTCTAGCGCAGTCGACGCTGTACAAATGTGGGGACTTTTTGTAAGCTAAGCCTTCGAGTATGCGAGCTTTGGCGATTGCTGCCGCTACGTCTTTAGACGGATATTTCGAGATATTTTTCCACATGACGTAAAGTATAGCCGCACAGATAAGTGAATACTCAATTGTACAAGGAAACAAAAAAGGCGATGCATCTTGAACGAGAGTACCCATTATGTTAGTACGTCTACATTCGAAAATGTGATGCGGTCCTTTCAGCCCTCTCGGAACGCGGAGATGTGCCGCTGCCGGATGTGATGGAGGCACCTCAGTAGCTAAAGAAGCGAAGGCCTTTTGGAATGCTGAAACAAAAAATAAATAATGAAAACAAAATATCACGGAGCCAAGTTATTCGTCGTATACGTTCTATCCTCGATCGCTATCTAGAAACCTCGTAAATATTTGGGTCAAATAACTTCCGGGTTTGCTCGCGGCAAAGGAATGCCATCCGAGTAATTTATTGACGGCTATCATTAGTTCACCTTAATCAACTTCGCGTTATCTCTTCCATATTATTTACTGACATAAAAACGTGAGGCAGTAAAATATCACCAAACAGATTTTTAACACGTTTTTTTATTTTATTACATTGTCCTTAAAATTTTATTCATGTACCGGAATTTTTCAACGTAACCCGTTGCTTAATGAGTTAGATGAGTGAACGAACTCACGGCTCCCCAGGTGTTAAGCAGTTACCGAAGTCTATAGATATTAATTTGACCTACCAGGGGGTGGTGCCTGAATATACAGATCATATGTTACAACATTTACATAAATTAAGCGTAAAACAAATTTACATTTTACATAATAGAGTCTCGAACGTGACAATGTTGCGATCCAACGAATTAAAAATATAAAACTCGGATTTAGTTAATATGTTTCAAAATTATAAGGCTGATACCGGTAATGGATTTCAACTCTGACGGTTGAAGCAATCTTTAAATAATAGCAGCTGTCAATATTTCACCGTTATTAAATTCATATACCAGATTAATTATTACACCCAACCCTTACTAAATGTAAGAATTACCTTTGACTTTCTTAGTAATTAAATTTTATTGTGATTTCACGTAGGTATACACGTGGAAAGATCTTTATATTATATTGTCAGTTAGTGCACATTGACACACTAGATTTGTTTTAAAAGAAGATGAATGTCAATGTCAGTCATTGATTGAGGTTACGAGATTACCAGTCGTTTTTTTTTTTTTAATAATCAAGATTTTAAGGTATATATGTTTTTATTTTTCTTAATTTTTTAATAACATGCATGCATAGATGTTTGGTCTATGTTAATAGATAGATATCTCTGCATATTTTTAAAAATAGTATACAGCAAGTTAACTTAATCTTTTTCATAATTTATCTACATTAAAACAGTTGTCTAGAAGAGATTGCTTTTAACTGCCCGTTGTATAATTAATTATACTTGCCTGTTGACTGATTTTCAATGTTAATTGTTTTTCTCTACAAAAAAATTATCTCTTCTATCTTTCTTTCTCTCAAGACACCAACTGCTTTCAGAAATACAGTAATCATTTATCCCAACGTAGTCAGTTTCATTTAGTTTATATTATAAAATAAGTTTATAGTACTTTCTACAAGGGCGATTCGATTACCACTATTTTATTCATGTAAACACAAAGAAACAAAAATATCGATTGATGAAGTCGCGCTGTGCGTAGTTCGATAGCACGGAACAATAGCAACGGTTTTTCGCTTTATATTATTATACTAGCCGACCCAGCAGACTTCGTATTGCCTCAATCGATAAATAAAAGACGGGGGACACATCAAAGGAAAAACAAAATTGTTATTTTTATTTAATTCCGAGCATTTTCATATTTATCTACCTTTTAAACCTTCTATGGACTTCCACAAATAATTCAAGACCAAAAATTAGCCAAATCGGTTCAACCGTTCTCGACTTTTAGCGAGACTAACGAACAGCAATTCATTTTTAGATATAGAAATTTTGAAAGGGTCTTTGCCAAATTTGACGAAAAACTATATCTTTCCGATCAGTGCAACCCTTTCTATTTCATTCTCTTTCTATACGTTCGGATCGATTTTATTTTCGTTTACTTCGTAGGTGAATTGAGGCCGTAAGCGCAAAAGTGGCCTAAGCTTACTACAGTTATTATGGAGCAATGAGGTTTATGTTTTTCATGAATTTGAATTATATTGGGCAAAAAAACAATACAAAGCTTACAAAGCCATCTGTTATCTATGGGTGAAACTATGGACAGGCCGGTTTTGCATCAAAATTTATTATATTTTAAATAAATTACAATATACATATGATTATGAAAAATTGTGGGTTAGGCCACTTTTGCGCTGATGGCCTCAATTGTCCTTGCATTTAAAATGAACAGAATATGTTATTAAAAGGAATATCATCAAGTTTTGTTGATCATATATCAGGTCATATATTTGTTGGTCATAAACTTGCTGAAGTTCAAAAATGATTAATAAATTTCAATGCTCACCTAGTCTGTGCGAAAGTCCAATGGTCTTGTTCTCCGGGTCGTAGAAGGTCAATATCTCGTGTTTCGTTTCCTGAACCAATACATTCAACCACACGCTGAGGTTAGTTCCGACCATGTGCATTAAACCGAACCTGGCCACAATCTTGTGTTTGTATACTTTCATCTGGAATAGTTATTAATTTGGTAAGATTTTTATGTAACAGCAAATTTTTTCGATATTTAAAAACATACATTCCTTTTTTTAATTTGTTTGGCCACAGTAGCTTATAGTGCTTGATTTAAAATATTTCCAAAAACTTGCCATAAGTATTGTGTGAATTTTCAAAAATAAAGTTTCTACTAACCTCGTTGTTGAGAAAGATAAAGTACATCTGTATGAAGATGAAGGCCATTCTGGTGGCGGGTGTCAGCGCTAGCAGGACGTTGTGACAATTAGTGTTCCTCTCCAGTTCCCAGTACTGACCAAATTCCAGCCCGGAGTATATCATTGATCCGATACCAAAAGCTAAGAACAAAAAGCAGAGCTTCAATTGTTAAATTTTAATGCTAAAATTTACCTAATAACAATTGGCAAAATTAATATAAACATATGTAGACGTTATACTTTTATTTAGTATTGGTAATGCATAATGAAGTGTTCATAAAATAAATAAATTCTATCAATGTTGTCTTGTTCTATAAACTTGTGACTGCAAATGTCAGAAAACGGGGAATGAACTGACTCCAATCTTTTACACAATTGCATTCTATTTTAATATATTTTGGTATGTACTTTTTATTCTGTGGTTTAACGTCACGTAGTTTCTATCAGCAAGTATTTTTCATAGAATGAGCAATACTTGTAAGATAACCGATCCACGAGCTATTTTATAAACCTTTTCATTATTGAAAAGTATTATAATTATTTCTTAACGATTTATATCTTATGGAAATTGTGGCCTAAAGAATTAGATGCCTAGTATATGAGGCCGTTAGTGCAATAGTGGCCTAAGCTTACCATAGTTAGTATGGAGATAATGAGGTTTGAATTTACTTTTACACTGCTTCGTACGCAAAAACAATACGCACAAAAACAATGTTTACAAGGCCATCTATTATTTATAGGTGAAACTAGGGATTGGCCGGTTTTCATCAAAATTTATTATATTTTAAATAAATTGCAATACACATATAAAGCACGAATATGAAAAATTATAGGTTAGGCCACTTTTGCGCTGACGACCTCATATGAATGTAACTGATGTTCATGAATGACTTCCACGATAAATTCCATAAAAACATTTGCATAATTTGTATACTACCCAGATAAGACCTCCAGTCTGCATTCACCCTATATATCTATATAGGCTCCGATAAATACTTAAATTCATGTGGGCCGTGAGCGAATTCACCTGTCTATACAATAAAACCATCAATCATTTAACAAGAAAAAAAAACCAACTAAATTCACTAAATCGAAGAAACACTTCGAAAAACAATACAACCGAAACACAGCAAAAACATTATCCAAACACGATGCGACTGGATTAACGCGAGTCTCGTTAGAAGTTGAACGGAATTAGTGGAACTTTCGCCATCAATAAGAAAGTTCATTCGGAACTAATCCATGACTCGGCTGCGATCCGAACAAAGGATGTGGAGAGATTTAGTTAGATATCTCGACAAATTGTTTGTACTCTGCAAATACGGGCTGAACTAGGACAAGCGCTCGGTTAGTCTCTACCCGGCGTAGATAATCAGTTTGCTATTCCTTGTATTGTAAGATTGAGTTAAGTTTATTTCGTTAAATAGGTAAAGTGATTAAACACTGAGACGTATTTGACCCGTTTTCATGCATTTAGCGTAATACTAAATGTACTGGTCTTCTATGTATGATTTTGTTTGTTCGTGCTCTATGCGTTTGAGCCTCGTATATTTGATTGAGTTGAAAGTTTGTAATGTTATTGGAGACAGTTCAGAAAAAGTCTTGTATATATTATTTATTGTATAGTTGTTGTGTGGTTAGCGGGGTCCCTAGATATTGCAACGTAAATATCGCCACCACATTGAGGAATGAAGCCGAAGTCTCAATTGAAATTTTTAATGGCCCTCCTACTCTTAAAATCCGACAATATAATTACTTTTACTACTATTTATGGGTAAAAATACTTTTTTTTATTGCCGTTGTAGGCAGACGAGCATACGGCCCACCTGATGGTGAGTGGTTACCGTCGCGCATGGACTTCAGCAATGCCAAGGGCAGAGCCAAACCGCTGCCTACCGCTAGAAAAGTAATCGCCGATAACTTTTGTATTTTTTTTTTATTTATTGCTTAGTTGGATGGACAAGCTCACAGCCCACCTGGAGTTAAGTGGTTACTGGAGCCCATAGACATCTACTATGTAGACGCGCCACCCTCCTTGAGATACAGTTTTAAAGTCTCAGTATGGTTACAACGGCTGCACCACCCTTCAAACCGAAACGCATTACTGCTTCGCGGCAGAAATAGGCAGGGCGTTGGTACCTGTCCGCGCGGGCTGACAAGTGGTCCTACCACAAGTAATAAATTATATATCCAAATATAACATATTTATATATCCAATCTAAAGTGTAGAAAGAATTCAATAATATAGCTTTACATTATTCTGGCACTTACCAACAGCTCCCATTCGCAAATAAAAACTTCCGTAGTGATGCGTCCGGGTGGCCAATGCAAATCCGAGGGATAATCTCTTGGCGGGTAACTGTGGGATCGCGTGTGTCGTTGTCGTAGTACTTTGTTCGTGCGATGAACACGAATCCGATTCGGATGGCGTCGAACTAGATTCTGACTCTATTTTAAATAAAATTATGTTTATAAAAATAAATAACAACACACTGTATTTTTATTCAGTGACTGAGTTTAGTACGTGTAGAATGTGGACTTTGGAAACTATAATACTGAGACTATACAAAAGCCAATATACAGCATTAACAGATATTGGTTTAAAAGCATATAGAATGTCACCTGGTTTTCCATTTAAGCAGCGGAAAGCCTAATCCTTAATAAAATGACAAACCATATTTTAGCATTTCTAACAAAATAAATTGTTTCAGAATTCGAGATGATGATAAAACAGGAAGAAAATAAATAGAAGTGATTTTCCTCACTAATTAGTTAATAGATACTAGATATAGACCTAATAATATTGTTTTTAATTTGAATTTTCAAAATATTTATGGTATATAAAAATTAAATAAACTCATTCTGGACTGTAGCAATTGTTATTTTATTTACATTAATAACTTAGAAATTTAAAAACTTATTTGAACATTCATTTACATGAAATAGTTACTATAATATCAAGCAACAAAAAGCACCCGAAACTCTTTTTCCCTTTCACTATTTAGCGACCCTTTTCAGCCGGCACTTTTCAAGCATCATTTAAATAACAAATGCCGATTTACGGAACCGAAACAGAAAATGTACCCAGTTTTTATCAACTGGAATGTTGGAAAAAACAAAAGGTTTAGGATACGAAATTGGTTGTGTAGCCCCCCCCCCATCCCCCATCTCTTCCCATGAGTGTCGTAAAAAAACGGCTACACCGGAGAATGGGCAGCAACATTCTCCGAGGATTATTCTAGCATTCTTTGACCGTTAACCGGTGTTTCCTGGTGGTAGGTCGTATTGCGAACCCGCGCGTAGGTAGTGAAGTAATAAGGTAGGTATCGCCACTCTGATTATTACCGCGAAGATATTATGCGTTACCATTCGAATGGTGAGACAAGATGATGATAAACTACCCGTCTGCGGCAAAGAACAACGAAACACGATCAATTTATCGTCGCATTTCATATTGTACTTACATATGTATCAAGGATTAATCAATAAACAACTGGTGCGTTTTACTTATCAACTTTATACTGTAAATTTTCCCATAAAAATCAGTTAAATCAATATACGAAATAGAAAAATGAAAACTAGTTATTCGATAATTGTTTTCTGACTTTAGCTCACGTTGTAATTAATATCTGCGGGCTCCGGTTCCACTTAACACCGTACCGTGAACACGGTCATGGACTAACGCAGTTAATAAATGAAAAGAAAATATACAACATTAATGTACACATATAAAGGTATCGCACGAGTGAACATGATCTTTAAATAGTTAGCAAAACTTCAGCAATATAAAAAGAGGATCATTTCAAAAAAAGTAAAAACATTATTACGAATTTTTTAAACAAACTCTTGATCTGACAAAGTGTACCAAAACATTCTGCATTTAGTATTGGTATTACATTCAGTGCTTGAGTAGCTGAAATAGCCCCGTAGGCTAACAGCGATTAGGTAAGTGAACAAAAAAAGTATTACATACTAACTTGCAACAATAGCGGTTTCCTTTCCAGATCGCGTTCTGTCCCTAACGAGAGCAGCGTACATATACAAGAGGAACACCATGCTGCCGATGTACAGGTACAAATAGAAACCCTGTAGAAACAATCAGAAGGTGAAGAAGCAGAAATGTGTCTTTCTTACAAAAAACAATAATGCGATCCGACTTTAAGAGCATTTATTCTAATGCAACAGACTTTGACCTCACGTTAAACTTTCATAAAGCGCTTTTGAACCCATGCATAGCTGTTAAACAAATCAATATAGCTTGAAAACTAAAACACAAAAAAAGCAAAAAAAACACGACCTTAAGAATTTTTTTCCTGGTGATCTTAGTCGATCTGGGTCAAAATAATTAAATTATTGTATTATCAACGGTCCTTGATATGTATGCGAATGCTAAGCAAATCGGATTTCTTGAAGTAGATAAGAAACAAGTTCAGATGAAACTAGTAAAGCTGTCTAAGGAATCTTGAAATTAATAACCTTGAACTATGGCATCTAGTATTCGTCGAACCTACACTGAAGTTAATGATCGATAGTGACCAATAAATAACTAGCCCTTATGGCCAAAAATATTTTTTCCAAACTATCGTAAAGTAACATTAAATTCAGAAAACGTATCCATAAGCGAAAACATTATCTATAATTCATCATTTAATTCAAATTGATCATTTGATGAATCCATAATTGGATTTGACAAGATTATACTAAAATTTTGATGAACATTACAAGATCTATCTACCGTATCAAACGATTCTATGGCTAAATACACAAAGAAAATAATTCATGTCACTCGCTCCAGGTGTACATAAATACCCTTAATTTAATGTGTACTTTATATTCCAAAACGTGGAGGATTGTCTGCGTGCACGTTTTACAAAAAGCACCATGTGAACGAACGCCTTGAATTTAGGAGTACATACGCGACACGACACCCTGAATGTTTTGTGAAAATAATTAAACGTAAATATATTTATTCGTTGCTAATTCGAGAAGTTTCTGATATATTGAACTAGTTAGTCTAGAACACAACACGATCTGAACAATCGTTTATCGATCAAATCACCCGAAATCAAAAGAAAGAAAAATATCGCATCGAAAATACTGCCAACGAAAAGAGAAGCAATATATCAAACTGAGCTTACCTCATAAAACGAGGGTGGAATGTACGTTGATATGACTTCGGCCATGGGAAAGGCGACACCCATGACCACCAACAGCTTCCCGTAGAGAGCGGACAACGTGGTCGCTAATGCATCGCTTCTGTTCAAACAATCGTTATATTTCATTATTGGTTTGTTCGGGCTTGTTTCTGTGCTGTTTCTTCGGAAAAGTGAAGTAAGTCGAGAAAATACTTAGTTTGTTAAAATCTTGTAAGTCTTAAAGTCTAAATAATTGTACATATTGTTTTCTCATGGGAGTAAATTGAAACAAAACTCCTTAGTTACTTGATCATTCGTAAGGTTTTGCAAAAACCCTGTTTTCTTTCGCGTAGTTTATAAATAACATCGGGCTGAATTCGAACTGCCAGTAAAACAGTTTCGACCGGAATCATTGCCCATTTGTTTTACGAGACGGCCAACCGCCCTGCGAGGGAGAGCCTTGGGAAATAAATACTTCCAGCTTATCGTATATTTCTACGGATTCCCGTATATTCCTGCGGGATACTAAGCTTGATAAATTAACTGTAAAGCATAAGATTCATCATTAACGGATTAGGAACGTTTTTGTTTTTGTCTTAGAAAAAATCAAGACACACGAAATCATGAAAACCAAACCTTAGTTTCTTATTTTGAAAATAGATATATTTAAACTGAGCATACTAAGAATGCTAGTTTGAATTAAAAGATTCGAGCTTAAGGTAAAGCGTGCGACATTACAAGGACGCCTATCGTCAGATTTAATAAGCACGATACATTAATTTGGTAATCACAATACACTAACGAGTAGTCGAAATGGATCCGAAATAAGCCGCTTAAACAGAATGCGACGCGTAAATATGGATGGAATCCTCGGGTAGTCCGGGTGACAGTGTCACTGGGATCTCGTTAATCTGTGAAAATGATTCTACGCCCCACTGACTCGTCCTTTTGTTTGTATTGATAGGTACGCAGTCAGGATATATTGTCAGAGGGAACTGAATTGATGGTTGAAAACTCTTGAAATGATTCCTACTTACCTGACTAACTTAGTTGGCTACAATACTTTATACGAAACAGAAAAGTGATATAAAGGAACCGTTTTGTTTGCAGCGACAATAGCAATTGTAAAATTACTAAATAATAATTTAATAGTCGTATAAGAAAATTTTACTTCTTTGGAATGATCATTTCGCCATTTCTCATAAAGACCCGAACCTAAATGCTAGTGACGTCATGGAATATCCCTAAAATGCCAAGTCGAAGCCTCCTGATCCACTCTTGGTGCTTTCAAGCATTCCAAATACCGGTCACCCTCCTCGACAGTTCGATGTGTAGCCTAACCCACAGACACAACCTACTGAGTTGCTCTCTCCTCAGTCGCTCTTTCATCCAGTAGTATAATCAGCGAAGCACTGCTCTTGAAGAACAACTTGGCGTCGCTCGGTGAAGCAGGAGCTAGGTGTCTTGGGCATGACGTGGGAGGAGCTAAAACAGACTGCCCAAGACCGATGTAAATGGAAGGATTTGATTCGAGCCCTACACCCCAGCAGAGGGTAATAGGAAAAAATGATGATGACTGCTCTTGCTAAGGCTAGTGTTAGCAAGTTCTCCCAGGTTGAGTCCTGTGTAAGGTCCTACAAACATCCTTAGGCCCGCGGTCCGGTTGGAACCCCGTAAGCTCACCTATCAAACCGTGCGTAGCTACAATAGCCCCATGAAAAAAGTTATGGAACCTTTGTCTGCCTCTTGTTTCTAACCTAATGATTTCTGAAGAAATTTATAATTATCAATCTATTTGACAAAACATCTATTTGACGTTTTGTAAAATAAACGCAAAGATTGAATCAAAGCCCATATTGCACAATTTTTACGTGGATTATAGCCAGTTTGATACGGAATAGTTGACTTCTATGCTAGTTTCGTTGATTTACGTAACTGTATTAAATGTTTATTAAACTGGTAGACTATTCAGCTACTCACATTAAGAGCGAATAAATACATGACAAAATTAAAAAAATATATACATCAATAATAAATTTATTGCTAACTAGAACAAACAACGATCTTCTCTAAACAACAACTTCCATAATGCCCTTCATGAAGCTAACAATCGCAGCAGATGGAGGGAAATTGTACGGGAGAAACTAATGCAGCGGGGGAGGCACGACTCTCAGTAATGAGGAAAACGATGCGAGATGGAGGAGAACGAACAAGCAGACAGTTAAAAAAAGGGGTTTATCAATAAAAAGTGAACTACATTAGTAGTAACAATACGACACAAGAGCACAGCCGAAAATCGAAAGGCATACAAAAGGCTGAAACATTCTGTTTCGAGTGCTCAACAAATACAAAAATCCTGAGTACGTCCTACAAGGGGCTCATATGTTTCTTATTGATCTTCCGTAGAGGTTTGTACCTCACTGGACATTTCCTAATACTGTAAGATGCTTTATTTTCATTTCCTCGTAACTGACGAAGCCGTTGACTGTGAAATATTGTCTTTGAAAAAAATGAAGTGCTGTTCGTTAGTCTCGCTAAAACTCGAGAACGGCTGACCCGATTTGGCTAATTTTGGTCTTGAGTTATTTGTAGAAGTCCAGAGAAGGTTTAAAAGGTAGATAAATATGAAAATGCTCGGAATTAGATAAAAATAACAATTTTGTTTTTTCTTTGATGTGTCCCCCGTGTCGCGTCGGTCTTTTATTTATCGATTGAGGCACTACGAAGTCTGCCGGGTCAGCTAGTTACTTATAATTTACACTCGTTTAGTGATGTAATAAAAATGATTGTTGCTGCTTTCATATTAAAGTAACACGTGTTGGTGTTTATTGTGTTTCTAACAAGCAATAAAGTTCGTTCTTATTATTTCTATTATATATTAAATAGTTCCTATTGAACGTACAATGCACCCATTAAATTTCGTATATCTATCATACTACTATTTCTTAGGTATAATTTCATTTGAGAATGTATATTTGTTTGTTTTTGTCCTTTGTTGGAAAAATATGTGCAAGAGACACTATGAATATAAACTGTTTACATACAGTTAACATTTAGCTCCACAGAAAAACCATAAGTACTTAATTATTGTAGACTCAAAAAGATGTGGGTGAACCCACCGGATGTGTCTAGTCTACTGATGGTAGGACCTCTCGTGAGTCCGCACGGGTAGGTACCAACCACCCCGCCTACTTCTGCCGTGAAGCAGTAATGCGTTTCGGTTTGAAGGGTGGGGCAGCCGTTGTAACTTACTGAGACCTCTAGAAATCTTATCTCAAAGTGGGTGGCGACATTTACGTTGTAGATGTCCAGCGTCTCCAGTAACCACTTAAAATCAGGTGGGCTGTGAGCTCGTCCACCCATCTAAGCAATAAAAAAAGTATTCTTAATTTAGAGATCTTTATATATTCCAATATCACTATTGATGATTTTTCAATGTCATAGATTGCCGCCCAATATTAAATGGCCACTGAAATCCATGTAATCACAAAATGCTCGGGATCTTATCGTGTGGCATCAGGTCTTATTTCCGTATGATTTTTAACGGACGGACGATTACCATGTCAAATCCACTGCTCACCAAAGTTTAATGGACATCGTTTATCATAAACTCCGAAAACGTGCTGAAACTCCGCTGGAAGCTCAGTAATAAACTGTTGGCGTGGCGTTAATTACATCAGGCCCACCGCTTAATTTATCGTTATATTAAATTTTCAACTTTATTCAAAGGCAGAGATAATTCATCGTACTCAATTTTAATCTGCGCGATCATGGAGTTTGCCGATCCCAAAAAACGGCACTCAAAATGTGAGCGGTCAAACAAAAATTGGATCTCTTTTAAATCTGATGGCAATTTGAATGCTAAATCGTATTACATTTCACACGTAGTTTTCTGGGGAGGATTTTTATTACTGCGTTACCAATTCTGTAAGCAAACGTATGTAAGCTCATAGATAGATTAAAACCGATGGGACCACGTATAGATTGGTCCTCTGTGTATTTTATACAGTCTATTCTAAAAGGATTAGTCTGTGGAAGATCTACTGGTGGTAGGACCTCTTGTGATTCCGCGTGGGTGTGTACCACCACCCTGCCTATTTCTGCCGTGAAGCAGTAATGCGTTTCGGTTTGAAAGGTGAGGCAGTCGTGGTAGCTATACTAAGACCTCTAGAAGTCGTATCTCAAGGTGGGTGGCGCATTTACGTTGTGGATGTCTATGGGCTCCAGTTACCACTTAAAACCAGGTGGGTTGTGAGCTCGTCCACCGATCTAAGCAATAAAAAAAAAATGTTTTACGGCAAAAATATTAATTATTCGAGATGACTCCGTTATTTCCTTTTTTATTTAGCCACAATTTTTTCGACACGTACCACCTCGCTCTGTGACATGAACTTATTTTTACAATATTTCTACGCTAGTGCAAGAACAAGAAATAAAAAGAAGATCGACATAGTTTTCGATTTCCTTCTTCAAAAATGATTGTAGAAACTTCTCAGCGGTTGACAGCGGCTTAGCTGTGTCCCTAGAATTTCTGGCGTCGCGTCTGGGTGAGTTATATATCTGCATACAGAGGCAATTAAAAGTCCCCATAATTACTATTAAGCACTTTGTTGGATTCAAGTTGGCAATTTACCCTATAACTTTTTCTGTACACTTGACCACAGGTAAAGCCTTTAAAATGATCGGTATCATGATGATCGGCAGATTATAATAATTACGACCTAAAAGCGTAACAAACAAACAAGCTCATTTTAACTTTTATATACCTACTATAATATAATACAAGCATACAGTATAATACTAGCAGTTTTGCGACTGCGGCTTCGCTCGGACTACCACGTGTTTAAGATATTGACTCGCTCTCGGCTGTGGGATGTAATGTAACATGTATATTTTTTTAAATTTTGAACAATTTTCAATCAAATTCAATTCAATTCAATTCAAATTCTGTCAAAATCAATGGTTCAATGGTTTGATCGTGATTATCTAACAGACAGACAAAATTACTTTTGTATTTTAAATATGTATAGATTTATTTTAATTCGACCCTTATCTCGCCGACTTCATTGAATACGTATAAAAGACTTAATACGCGTATCTACAGTACTCTCGGCACTATAT